GAGAGATTTTTTTCGAGTGAATCACTTTATTATTGAATCTTCTCGATTGCCAACCACTCGACTGTCGAAATCACTCGATTTTTCCCATCACTAGGTACTATAAATCATTAAAATTAATTGTGTTATTTCAATAAAAGATATTCAAACTTCCACTTAAAAAATTCGTTATTGTTGAAAAAATACTCAAAGTTGTAGTTAAAAATTACAATATACTTTTTTATTTACCAAAACAACTACCTATTTAAAAAAAAAATTGTACAAATATCACGTTACTAATGTGAGTTATTTTAAAAAATATTTCAAAATAAAAATCCACACTAATATTGGAATAGTGGTTTTAATCTAATCTTTCAGGGGCCTACAAAAAATCAAGCAAAATTTAAAAACTTTTCATTCGTACAATTTTTATTTTATTTTTCAATACACATATATGTGCATACATGTCACCTTAAAAATAATTGTGGATAAATTATCCACAGTTTATTCTTGCGGGATAAATTATTTTTTTAAGTTCTCAAACTCAAAAGACCTCCGATTTGAGGACAGCAAAGTTGTGCAATTCGTATTATCAAATAATATTTATACTACTGCCATCACAAAAAAAGATACCCAAAATAACCATAAATTATTATTTTTTTTTTATTATATTAATCTGACATAGCCCCCCCCCCCCCATTGTTATCTTATTACTTAAGAAAAAGAAAAAAATTAAATCAAGTGAATAATATTTTAAATTATCTAAAATTGTATTATAAATGAGGAAAATCAACAAAATCAAAAAAATTCCAAAAATTAAATAAGGTTGCACTAAACATTTTTAGACTTAATTCGTACTTGCATGAACAAATGTATTAACTACTTAGCAATAAATTTGAACAATAGAATAACAACTTCCGATGCCTAATGATGAATAAAATAAACTATGTGTATGCATAGTATATATATGATACATTATATAATAATAAACACATGCATAAAGTATTGCAAAACGGTTGCCAAGATTTTTCGCACGCCCTTGTCATAATAATAACTGTAATAACACTTTACTCGATGTACTGTATTTACTTGTTTTTTCACTTTAAGAGATATTCGTTTATATATATATATATATATATATAT